CGAGCCCCGTCAGTAGCCGCACAGATAGACATTGCCCACAAAGACAAGAGAAATCAGAAGGGCCATTTCTGGCCAAGTAGCAGTCATCAGCCAGCCAGACAACATACTTAAGGTTGTGCGGCACCCGGGGCTAAAACCCACGGCCTACTGATCTGGAGTCCAACGCTCTTCAACCAACAATAAGTATTATTCTGCCATTTTAGATTGGGAACATTAACATTGGTGGAGCAACGCTCGCTGTTTAATTACGGGATTCATTCTTAAGCCCCGCTAGCAGCCATAAGCCGCATATTGCTGCCAAAGACAAGAGAAGAAGTTGTAATCACCGGAGCAGTAAGTTTACTGGCCTGAGGTTTCGGATTCTCTCTCGATTTTCGCTGATGATGGGTCCGAGCGAGAATCCGAAACGTTAGGTCAATGAACTTCATGTTCCAGCGATCGCACCTTCTTTTTCTTCTAAACTTCTTTCCGGAACTTGGCTGTTCGTTTGTATCAGTAAAGACAGGGAAGAGTGGAGTGACCACTTGACGGCTTATAAGCCAGGCATGGCTTAGCTTTGTTGGCTGTGTCTATTGGTGGAACATGTGCTGAATATAGACAATACTGATATTCAGAAACAGCAGATTTCGCCATTTAATAAACAGCCGCATTTTGTTCTATTGCCGACTAAGCATTCCCTCGCACAGACACACATAGGACCAGTGGCTATAACTGTTGCTTTGACTTAAGTTTTATAGGGGGCGGCGCTTGCCGCTGGAATCTTCAGGGCCGGTTTCGTGTAGGAAGGAAAGAAGTAGAATGCCAGAACAGTTTATTCTGTACAGCGGTAGTGCATAATAGGTCGGAGGAAGTAGACAGCCAGACGAGCGCACCACCGCCCGAAAAAGGACCACTTCCAAATTGGTTGGAGCATGACTGTCACCACTGCGAGGTCCAGTGTGAGTAAGCCTTAAAGGTGATTGGCCAGACAGGATTGGGGTAGCCAGGCACTGGTGCATGCACACTTGCTAGCAGCCGCGAGTGTCAGCACGGCGTGGGGTCACTACATATCCAAACATAGCCCAGAAAGCTCTGCTTCTGGCGTTTCGGCTGTCCAATGGGCTGCTTCATCAGCTCCAAAACATTTGCCCATCTTCGGTTGGCCCTGTCCTGGTCGTTGTGGCAGACGCGTTTCAATCATTTTTTATTTAAAAAAGGCTACAGG